AACTCAATGACAAAGAGTTTGAAGGTTTTTGTTTCTTGGTTTTTTGTTGTTGGGTTTTTTTGTTTTGTTTTTGTTTTTGTTTTTTAATTAGTGTTACCAGGGAGCTCTAGTAGTTAATCCAAAGCTAGTTGTGCTGGTAACCCAAAGGCCTTGCTTTTCTGTTGGTTTAAATCCACCAGTCATTCTTGTAGGAAAAAGACCAATTTTCTCCTACTGAAATTGCTCAAAAACTGAACAGATAAGCACTATGATTTGGAATTGACTGAATATCAATGCATTAGACTTTTTTTTTGGTTTTGAGTTAGTAGGACATGGAAGAAGCAGAGAAAGTATTGCCTGGTAATACTTCAGTATCATATGCAAATGCAAAAGGGAGATAGCAGATACTAAAATCAATCAGCAAAGGAATTCTTCTTTCCTCTTGTTAGATTCTAGTACCAATGTATAAAATTTCCAGTATCATTGTGTACCAATGAGGGAGTTTTTCTTTTGCTTTTCAAGGAGAGGAGCAAATGGGGGGGGGAGGGGGGAGGGGTTTGTGCGGGGAGAAGGGTGCAACAATGAATGAATGGAATCCCAAAATCTCTGTAGATGTTCATTGAAATGAAAAATAAACAACCTAAATTAAAAAAAAAAAAATTTCCAGTATCTAATGCCTTGGAGAGGACTAGCAAGTTCCTTCCAGAGAAGGTTACCAGTGACAGACATGAAAAGCAAACAATGCCAAGTTTATTAGTGAAAAAAGTTTATTGAGATATGTTGTTGTTCTTGTTGTTGTTATGTGCCGTCGAGTCGCCTGCGACTCATAGCGACCCTATGTACAATAGCCCTAAACTCCGCTCTGTCCTGTGCCAATCACACTGCCTCTGACGCTCCCATCCCAATTATCCCAGTCACTGAATCAATCCACCTCGTAGAGGGCCTTCCCCTCCTGCGCTGTCCCTCCACCCTCCCAAGCATGATGTCCCTCTCCAAAGACCAGTCTCTCCTCACAACATGTCCAAAGTATGTTAGACGGAGCCTCAGAATCCTTGCCTCCAAGGAGCCATCCGGTTTAACCCTTCAAAAGAAGCATATAGCTGGTCATCTTATGAGTGAGAAGGACATTGGTCTAGGGACAGAGTTCCAGTGTTTTATCAGGATCTCCTTTCTTATCTAAATTAACTCTCCCATCCTTTTAATCCATGACTCTTTCAGATTGATGTAAAAAGGCAACTTTTTCTTAGACAGCCATCAAGAGTGTTGTCCCAAGGTCACAATGCCCTTAGTTCCAAATGCTGGAGGATAGAGTGTGAGGAGGTCTGCCCAAGACTTCCAGCAGTTTTGGTTGTACTCCCTCAAGGTTATGTGGTCATAATTTTCTTTTCCTTCTTCTTTGAACCCTTGTCATCTTGTTTCTTTTGTTCTGTCTCTAACACCTTCTTTGGGTTACTGAACTTTGACTCCTTCTCTCCTAGGTCAAAGAAATAAGTCAAAGAGCATGCCTATCCTTCTTACATGTCTCCAGGCTCAGGGATATTTATAAAAAACAAAAACGTCCAATGAGAATCCTTTCTTGAATTTGTTATATGGGGGAAGGAATATCTGTCTTTCCTTTGACCAGTGATACTGAAAAATATAGCGATGGAGCTTCTGATAGTCATATTTCCTGACCTTTACAGGAGAGGGAAACAGAGAGAGAACTACTTTATTTGAACTTTTAATTTCGCTATGTCTGAGATAGATCCAGTCTTACTTCCTATCTCCATGTGTTAATAAATCACCTTTTTGTCTTAAGTGAATTTGAAGCAGATGTTTGTTACTTGTGACTGGAAAAATTTTGATCAGTGCTTAGCCTTAAAGTATTAAAGTATTTCTGTGTAGAGTCTAGGGCAGACTGATGAAGCAGTTTTCAAAGTTCTTCTTGTTGTTGTTAGGTGTTATAGAGTCATGTTTATAGCGACCCTATGAACAACAGGTTCGAACCCTGTCTTATCCTGTGCCATCTTCATTATCTCTGGCACTCATGAGCCCGTTGCTATAGTCACTGTATCTTGTGTCTTGAGTAGTAGACAATTGGATATATTAAGGTGTGTTTCCCTATGCTCCCTCATTGTAATAGCCCAGAGTCTATCCATTTGAAGTAACCGCTTAAATTATCTCTTACTAACTTGTTTTCCTTTGCTCACAGTGTATTCTCCTTCTATATAACATTCTCTGAGTAGCCGCAAGTTTTAAAAAACACAGATGATTATCTTCGTCTCTACCCAAGTAAAGCTTTCTAGGCAAGACTGTATATTTAGTGGAATATTTTGAAAGTATGCTAAGTTGCATTCATTCAACATAAGTAGAATATATATTTTTGCTTTTTAATAATACTAATTGATCTCATGAATTTTATTTTCTTTTCCTAAGAATGTATGAAGACACAGTAAAGTTTCCTAATTACGTGCATGAATGACTGAAGTTTTTAGTGTTGCTCAGAAGATCTTTTCATGATTATATAATTATTTAATGTTTTATTCTATACCAAGGGAGCACTGGTGGCTTAGTGGCAAGAAGAACAAGGAAATTTTGAAACAATCGTACTGAGACGAGAACTCTTTAACATATCTTTTTAAGCATTCTTCTTTTTATAGAATTTAAAGGCATTTATCAAAGGTGACCCAAGTCCTTAAGTAAGGTGTCCTTGTCTCTGACAGAATGCTTGCCAGCATATAAATTGGTACGCTGCAATCAAAGAGAAAAACGTGTAGTTTGTAAATTTCTTCTCTATTTTCTAAGAACATGTCCTTACTGGTTCCTGTTTTTATAATAAATAAAAATATTAATGAATCATATTAATTATTACCTTGAAAGTTGTGATGGCTTACTTCTGTTCAGTTTTGATTGGATTTGTCTCCAGATTAACATTTCTTCATCAGAAGAAGTAAATTTAAGGGTAGATGCAGTTCTCCACTTGAAACAGTCTTTTGATAGTGTACTATCACAACCTATTGTGAATTGCATACAAATTATCTTCATACTCACACCTAAACCATGTAAATTCTGTTAGTCCAAGGGTTCTGGAGAGCTCAAATGGCAGAGACCACAGGAAAAAATGCCGACATTATCTGTATTTTGCTTGTTGTTTCTGAGTACCATCGAGTTGGAGCTGACTCGTGGCTGACTCACCAGTGGGTTTTAAGAAGCAGCTTATACGGTAAGTCAGAGAATGACTTCCAAACCTCAAGCCACATAGCAGGGACAGTGTCAGAACCATGGCTCCACTTCAGCTTCAGGAATAAGTGGCAAGGCTGGTAAGAAGAGCATTAGATAAAGAGACTAAACTATTTGTAAGGATCTCAGCTATTTCAGGTGTTGCTCTCAGCAATGAGGAAGCCTGACAAAACTGTTTTCTAACAATTGTTTCTAACTAGAGTTGTAAGTAGTATATATTTTACATTTGCTTGTGACACTGATGGCATTTTAATTAGTGTACAATGGGGAGAACAATGGGAAGAAACACCTTTTCGGTGTAGAATCACAGAGTGCACTGCACAGTGTATTCTTTTCTGACTATTGCATCTTCTGTCACTCCAGGAGAAAATGAAATAAACTACAGAAAGAAAAAAAAAAGGAGCAGCTTAATCGCATGTAGGAGATTGCCCATCCTTCTCCTACATACATTGCTTAGCACTGAATTTTGCTGGATATGGAAATACTAAAACTTTTCTGTCTCAGGAATGATTTTTAGAACTCTGTAACCCCTTACACATTCTTTTTGAGACAGCTCATTGTTAACTTAGGGAAGGGGATCTTTCAGATATTTGGAATAAATAGCTGCTCTGCTAAAGTACAGATCAATGGTAAACCTATCAGGATTATTTAATGGCCGTTAACGGAAATTGATTCAAGATAACAATAAAAATTTAGTGTTTGAGCTGTGGTGTTGGAGAAGAGCATTGAATATCCTGTGGACAGTCAAAAGAACAAACAGATATGTATTAGAGAGGGTGCAGCTAGAGGGCTCTTTGGAGGCAAGAATAATGAGGCTTCATCTCCCATACTTTGGACATGTTGCTAGCAGGGCCTATTTCTGGGAGGGGTACATGATGCTGGGAATGGTGGAGGGTCAGTGAAAGAGATGAAGACCCTTGACAGTTGGATTGACAGGGTGACTGCTGCAATGGTGTGTCGGGAAAATGAAAAGTGTGTCAGGAAATGTGAGGATAGAACAGGGTCCAGATATTTTGTTCATAGGGTTGCTGTGAGTTGCATTCGACTGGATGGTACCTAACAGCAACATAGAAAGTTCAAAGGGCCAACTATTTTGTGCCCATTACTAAATCCTGGTACTTAAATGATGTTAACAGTACTATTATTTTCATCTCTGCACAGTATATTTTTTTCAGTAGGTTTATTTTTAATAAAACAGTCTCTATGGTCTGTTAGACATAATCTTTGGTAACTAAATTCCTATCCTCATTTCTTCTTATCATTTAAAAAAGAAGGAGAATATTCTGGATTATTTAAGCAAACGTTCTAGGGAAGAATCTGATTAGACTGACTTTGTTCAATAGATTGCCTTGACCCACCCAACCTCTGATTGGTTAGGTGATTTATGTGCCCACCTCTGTGACATCAGCAAAGAAAGTGATAGACGGCCCTGTTAGAATTGAAAGGGAGACTTTCAAAAATAAAGGAAGAGAGAGAAAGGAGAAATAGGTTGAGATGGACTTGTGCATTTGTACTAATTAATAATGGTGACTTTTTAAGAAACTGCAAAGAGTATGACAAATTGTGCTGTGTACTGGTAAATTTATTGACTATGTTAACTTTAAACAGAAAGGATAGATATGGAAGCTGAGAAAGAAGAGGTGAAAAGAGACATGGATTAAAAAACCAAAGAATTTAAAAATTAGCCTGTGACAATTGCGTGACCCACCCAAGTAGTTATGCTCTTTCTTATCCTTTGGGACAATGTAGATATTTTTAAAGTGGAAGTTTCTTTCAGTTATCTCTTTTGTTTTACCTTTTAGGTGGACAAAAAAATCGTAAGAACTGAGATAGGAGTTCTTCTTCGCCTCTCACATCCAAATATTGTAAGTGGACTTTAAACTACTATTTCAAATACTTTCAAAGCTAAAGAATGGAATCTTTGTTCTTCACTCTCTGAACTAATAATAAATAGGAGATTCTTTTTTCACTAGCAGCCTCCATGACCCAGCTTTTGTCCTTATCTACTTACATTTTCAGTTTTTGAGCAAATAAATCTTAGATATAACACCTCTCAACAGAGTTTAGAAAATGAACAGACCAGCAATATGGATACAATCTTAATTTTCATGTACAAAAGAATAACAAAACAATTGGATGGTTTGTTTTTCTCTTAAAAAACATTGTGTTTCCTTTCTTTTGAATGCCTACTTTATTAATATGTCACTGCCAAGAAATCCTGTGAAGAAACACATTGCTTTCCAAAGCCATTTCTGTGTCCTTTGAGAGAGTATCTGTTTCAGGAACAGTATGAGGATTCATAGAAATGACATACTTTCATGTAGAAATAAAATTCCCTCAGTAGCTCTGCTTTAGCTATGCTTGGGCAAAGTCACAAGTGGTAAAGGCAGGTAAAGAACATGTTGGAGCCAATGAAGTGAAATGAATGAAATAATTGTTAAGACCACACTTGTTTTTACAAATTGAACCATCAACTTAAAGTAAATATTTTACCCACTTTACAGAGAAAGTGGTAGTTCTTAGGCAAATGGCCTTTGATGCTTCAGATTCAAAGCTAAATATATGAATTGGGGACACATCTAGCTATAAATAACAGAAAATACTTGGTTTTAGTTTTTCTTTCCCCGCCCCATGCCCCGCGTACAGTACTCCTTTTTTTTTTCTTCTTCTTTTTTTTAAACATATACAATGAGAAAACAGAGGATTGTTCACACTGGTTCAACTCCTTAGTGATTCCATTCAGCACCATGCACTTTCCATCCTCTGACCCTGCATCCTCAGAACATTGGCTTCATCCTCATGCTTTCCCTTCATGGTCCCAAAATGACTGCCTCACTGTCTTCACCCTTTACTGGGGGTATGCTTAAGACAGAAAGAAGGTGCAAGAGTGAGAGAGTCGTGTGAAAAGTAAATCAATAACCCCTTTTCAGAAATTACTACAGCAGAATTCTCTTCAGATTTTGTTGGCCAAACCTGGCCACACAGTCATCCATAGCTGCAAGCAAGCTGAGACAGTAGGGAGCGGTATTATCATAAGTGGGTTAGACCAGTCATACTCCATAATTTAGGGTGAGGCAAATTACTTCTCTGTACAAAATCCAGCTTCTGTTTTCAGTCAAGTCAAAGGAAAAGGGCCTTAGGCAAGCAATTAACAAAATTTGCAGCACTTAATCATATCTTTTATATCTTTCATCTCTTCCTATTATTCCAAAGAGACATAAGTTTGGATTTGGCTTCAAATGTAGGTTAGCCCTGCCCTCTCATACATATGTTGAAAAATAATAAAAATTAGAGTATATTAATTTGTTGAACACTCATAGTTGAGCAAATAACTGTCTCTATTACTTTTCTGAGAACCTCTTTATTCCTTCTTCTTTGAATAATTTTAAAACTGTTGAGGGAGTGTGTACACAGACAGACTTTATCAGGTCAGGTCTTGCCTCAGACCCTTCATTTCATGTTTCATTCTAAGTTCATTTCCTGGAAAAGGTGGTATTTGCATGGCTAGACCTATGAAATATGATGTCTTCAAATGGCTTGTTGTTTTGGGTGCTATCAGGTCAGAATCAGCTCATAGCTGACCCTCCAGCAGATTTTCAGAGGCAGTACATTGCACGAGAGGATTGCCCATCAGATCATCCTTCTGTGGAATAACTTGCCTTTGGATCTTATCTTACCACTAGGCCACCAAGAATTCTATTTTTCTCCCCACTCTGGGAATTTTCAGCAAAATTTTAACAAGTGTTTGTAAGGGTTATATCTTTCATCTGACAAAATGGTCAAAATTCACTCAGATTTTGAAGAAGTGAGGCAACTGATATAAATAACAAGCCCCATGAGAAGAATGACAGACGGCAGTGCAGAGCCTTTATGCTTTAGAAATGATGCTCAAACATATGACTGGTGCAGAAAATGTGATTTTACTCGTAGTTTTATCCATTTCAGTGGTGGGGAAAGGAATTTCTGATAGTCTTCTCTTATATATATCTTTCCTCAGATAAAACTTAAAGAAATATTTGAAACCCCTGCAGAAATCAGTCTGGTTCTAGAGCTCGTCACAGGAGGAGAACTGTTTGACAGGTGAGTTATTGCTAGAAGTCTAATCAAGAAGTATTTCTCTTCTGACCCCCAAGGAAATAAAAAGAAAAACTAAAACATATTTTCCTGGTACTTTTCATAAATAACAATATATCAACTGTTAAAATTTATAAAATAAATATTAAGTATAGAGGACAGAAGGAGATGGATGTTGTTTTAGTTGTTAGACATCAAAAAACTGGTTCTGTTCTTAATGGCTTTATAAGTGAGAGAACCAAATATCCCCCTGGCTCGTGCCATCCCTGTAATAATGTCTGTCATTGAATTTATTATTGCAACCACTTTGACAAGCCATCTCATTGAAGGTCCTTCTTTTTTTGCTGCCCTCTGCTATATGAAGCATGTTGCCCTTCACTTGTGATTGAGAATTCCCTCCTGATTGCATGCCTTTCTCCATCCTCATTCTAAGGACCATTGTGGCTATACTTTCTTCAAGACAGATTTGTTCATAAGTTGTAGATTAACAACAATCTGTGATGCTTTGTTATTAAAAAGAGAAATACTGTCATGTCTGTTAACCTGTGCCTCCAGATAAAACAACAGAACTTCTCAAAACATAATATTTTAAACCTATTTTATAAGACTGTGCATAGAATTCCAAATTGCAGAGCAATACATGTTCTATATAACCAGTTATAGCCAGTTTTGGTTGTCTCTTTGTGTGTTTCCATAACTCAAGACAGAGATGTGAGAATGGGGAACATGCCTAAATATTTTCCAAGGCAAATATAGGCAAAACTATTTCTAGGAAAAGTTTTAAATTGCCAGTTTCCACCTCCCTCACCTTCTCAAGATTTCAGATTTGCACTGAGGTGCTTTCAAGAGCCTGTTGCAGTGCTCATTCAGGTAAACAAAAGAAGAACAGATTTGAAAGAGTAGGTATGTTATAGTAGTAAAATAAGCTGTGAATTGATATAAATATCTCTCTAGTTAAGAAATGTAGTGAAGCCAGAGTATCTTGCAATTTAGGGGGTAAGACAGAGGAGAAATTCTTGGACTCACTGATAATGTCCTGAACACCTGCAATTGGAGTAACTCAATAAATATTTGCTGAATTAATAAGAGGGTGAGCAGCTGCTGCAGTGAATAGACTGAGGAGAAATATGTCGAAGGGGATCCATTTTTATTATGTTGGAAGAGAAAAGCTGCTCTCCTTCCTCCCTACCACTCTATCCAATTGAATTTTCTGTCTTCTAAAGCTCCCCAAAGTATGTATTTTTAAAAATGTCTGTTTCTGTCCCATTTTAAAAAAAGAAAAGGTGGTCCAGCAGAGAGTGAGAATTATTGACCACACCATTAATGTCAGATGCAAGTAGAATATTGCTGAAGAACATTTAAAAAGGACTGGAACTGCACATCCGCAGGGAAAAGCCGGAAATTTAAGCTGGATTCAGAATAGGTCACGGAACAAGGGATATCTTTGCTGATGTCAGATGGGTCTTGACTGAAAGCAGAGAGTACCAGAAAGATGTTTACTTGTATTTTATTAACTACAAAGGTATTTGACTGTGTGGAACATAACAAATTATGAAAAATATTGAGAAGAATAGGAATCCCACAACACTAATTGTGCTTAAGTGAAATCTAAATCTATACTTAGAGTAAGAAGCTGTTGTCCAAACAGAACAAGAGAACACAGCAGGGTTTAAAATCAGGAAAGGTGTGCATGAGGGTTGTATATCCTTTCTCCATATCTCTCCATTCAATTTGTATGCTAAGCAAGTACTTTGTGAAATTGGACTCTATGAAGAATGCAGCATCACGACTTTGAGGAAGACTTGTCAACAATCTGCACAATGCAGATGACACAGCCTTTCTTGCAGAGAGTGCAGAAGACCTGAAGCACTTACTGCAGAAGATTAATGACTACAGCCTTCAATACGGGTTACATCTCAATATCAAGAAAACAAAAATCCTCACCATTGGACCAGTAGGCAACATTGTAATAGATAAAGTAAAGATGAAAGTTGTCAGTGATTTAATTTTACTTGAATTAGTAATCCACATCTATTCCACTTGTTGTTGTTAGGTTGTTAGGTGCCATTAGTCATGTATGACTCATTGTGACCCTGTGAACAAATAGTCTGAACCCTGTTCTATCCTGGGCCATCTATCCCCATATTAATCCACCTAGTTGAGCGTCTTCCCCTCTTTCACTGACCCTCCACCATTCCTGGCGTCATGTCCCTCCTAGCAACATGCCCAAAGTATGTGAGACAAAGCCTCTTAATTCTTGCCTCCAAAGAGCACTCTGGCTCCACTCTTTCCAAGACATATCTGTTTGTCCTCTTGGCTGTCCATGGGATATTCAGATCTTTTCTCCAACACCATAGATCAAAGTGTCAGTTCTTCTGTCATCCTAATAAGGATGACAACAAATACGTTGTCCAGTTCTCATATGCATAGCAAGTGGTCAGAAAGATGATGGCCTGAACCAGACACACCTTAGTCCTAAAACTGACATCATTACTCCTCAATCATTTTGAGAGGTCTCTCACTGCAGATTTTCTCGGTCATTGTGTCTCCTTATTTCCTGATGCTCATACCAATACTGTTAATTGTGTATCCAAGCAAGATGAAGCTGTTGACAGCTTCAGTGTCCTTTCCATATATCATGATGCTGCCTATTGGTCCAGGTAAGATATTTGTTTTCTTAAAATTGATATGCAGGCCATACCAAAGGCTGCATTCTTTGGTCTTCTGCATCAAGTACTTCAAGTGTGTCACACAAGCAGTCAAGAAATTAAAAAATTTGATGCATTGGGAAAATCTGTCAAGGACTCATCTAAAGTGTGGAGAAGGGATATACAACCCTCATGCATACATTTCCTGACTTACAATGTCACTGTAAAGCCCAAGGTGTACCTCATCTAACCTTTGGTATTTTCAGTTACTTCATGTGCATTTGAAAGTTGGACAATATATAAGGAAGGAGAAAAGAAAACAAAGCCTTTGACTTGTGTTTTTGGTGAAGAGTACTGACTGTTCCAGGAACTGTGAAAAGAACGAACAAGTCTGTGTTGGAGAAGGTACAACCAGGGTGCTCCTCATAGGAAAAGATGGTGAAACTTTGCCTCACATATTTGGATGTTTTATCAGGAGGGGCCAAGCCTTGGAAATAGATGTCACCCTGAGAAAGGTAGAGGGTCGGTGAAAGAGGAACACCTTCAAGGAGATAGATTGACACAATGTCTGTCAACAATGGGCTAAACATGGCCGAGATCATGAAGATAGCATTAAGAGAGGGTAAGACTCAAGTCTTTTGTTCATAGTGTCACTGTGAATTGTAGTGGACCCTGTGGAATCTAACAACAAAGGCAGAATTGCCCCATTTTGTAGGCTCCAATCTTTATGGAAGTATACTGCCAGGTGTTTTCTCTCCTACAGCTTCTGAATGGGTTTGATCTTTTGGTCAGAGTCAAATGCTTAACCGTTTTGCCACCAGGAGTCCTTATTCCCATTCACAGATGTGGAAATATCTAAACTAAAACATCTAAAAAATTAGTAAAGGTAATCAACCCAGATATTGACACTTGGGACCAGAGGGGAGGTCCCTCTGTCTTCTGCTGAAGCATTTTCTTTTTCCTCTTATTGCCCTAACTGCCCTATCAAGTACAGGGAGGATTTTCCACATAATTTCCAAGAGAATAAACCACTGTTTATTTTCTCTACTGAGATTTCAGAATGTATTGGTTGACTTTATGCAGAACTTCACATATTCTCACCAGACCAATGTCTTTCTCACATACACTTACTAATAATCTAATAATGCCTCCATTTGACAAGAGGCTGCTATTGATGAAACAGCAGTAGGGCTCCTAATCTGTGTGCTGGGAGGTCTGAGGACCTCAGGATATGATTGGATTAGTGCTTGGCAGCTGCATGGCTGTACTAACTGCCGGCTGGAGAGAAGGTCAATTCAATTTTCAACAATTAGTGTGACAGAAGCAAGTACACTGGAGTCATATTTTAAAGCAGATCCATGGAGGGAAATAGGTATTGCCTGTATTTTCTCAACCTTTAATTTTCAAATGATGAGAAGGAAAACAGATCTGTGTGTAAAGAACAGGAATATTCAAGATACTACAGCAAGCCATGGAAGTAAAAGGAACAATCTGGAATAAGAGGCCTGTTGGTGCTAGAGGACAGCATAATTAGAGCCAATAGAACCATCCTTTTACCTCTGAGCTTCTTTTCCAAAACTCCAGATACCTGACTAGTTCAGTTAGCTGCTAAGGAACCTATAGGCATTGAGATCTCAGGACACATTTATGCTTCAAAGTTGTTATTAGAATCTTAGGGGCCATTTTATTTTTAGCACTGAGCTGTGATGCCTAGGTCACAGTGGAATGATGGGAAAAGTGTAGTGCAGAGGAAAGTGTCAGGGCTATTGAAAATGATCGTAAAATTATGGTGGTTATGCTTGGTGTTATGTGCCCTCCAGTCAGAACGGACTCACAGCTGACTTTCCAGTGGGCATTCGGGAGGAGATTGCCCATCTTTCTCCTTAAGAACAGCTGGTGGGTGTGAACAACCTGTCCTGAGTTGGCAGCACAACTCCTTACCAACTAAGGCTACCATAACTTCCTACAATGATGGTAACTTTAGAAAAATATGGTTCTCTTACTACCTTTGAAAATATGAACAGAAAATTAGTTTATTAAATCTGACAAGAAATGTATTATTATTAGTAGTAATTGTTGCATCAACCCTAACCCATGGAGTCTTTATATATAACCTGACTAAATATTGTCCAGTCTTGTACCATGTCCATGATCTCTAGTGCATTTGAGTCTGCTGTGGCTTTTGTGGCAGTCTGTCTTATTGAGGATTTCCTTTAGTTTTGCTTTCTACTTTCCCAAACAATTGATAGCAATTAATTCTTTTCAATTTTTTTTGTATACAATAATTTATTTACATTATGTGTCATTCATGTGCATTGTTGATTTTTCTGCTCCCTTCTGTCACTCACCACATTCTGT